AGAGAAAGACAAAATTCCCCATTAGTCCTCCAAAGCAGAAAATACCAGGGAGTTTTAAAACTACTGCTTTTAGTTAAGGAAAGATGATTACATTTTCCCATACACATTAGAAGCTGGTTTTAGAACTGTTTTTCTTTGTTCAGTTAACTCAAAGTCATTCTTAATGCTACAATTTGAATTCATATTAACATTCAACATATAAGACTGACTTACAAGACTAACCATGCAAGTTGCTAAAATCTAAAGTGTCATTTTGCTTAGTTTAGGAGAGAAAATAACATAATAAAAGGGAAAATACCTCCTTGGTTAAGACAAACTGAGGAGGAGGCGTCCAAGAAGCTTTCAGGAAGTAAAGTCAGTATGATTGTCAATGAGAAGGAAGGATTTTGATCATTACTGATTCAACCAATTATTTTAGAAATTAAAAAGAAAAAACTGCTAAGTACTCGGCACTGTGCTAAATGCACTGGGACACAGTCACCTACAACAGTCCCTGCCTTCTCGAAGCTTCAGGAAGCATGGGAGGGAGACTGGACCACCAAGAGTTAATACCACAGGGTAGAAAACCACTCCTCAGCAGGCAGCTGGAGGATGCTGTGGACCGTCACGGGAGGGAAGACAAAGGACTGAAACAGGGAAAAAAGGACACAGAAAAAGCAGAAACACTTTTATTAAAGAAAATGTCTGCTCTTCTAAAATCAAACACATTTAATACTTTGTCTGTATGATACATCAAAGCTATATCTTGTTCTTTAAAGTATCTTCCCTCCCAGTGATTCCGAGACTCCATCATGATTACAGGGTACATGAAATTCAGCACATTAACATGACGCAACCCCTCAGTCCTCTGTATAATGCATGATTGGTTAGACTCCACGAAGCACACAGTTTGCACAAGTTAACACGGGCTACGTGAAGTGTCCTCAGTTTTCAGGTATTTACCCCTGCCGGCTAAAGTGGACATTCATTCAACATTGTACCTTGGTGTCCTCTGAAAGAATGGACATGAAAGTCAAAAATGACTTACTATATAGGCACTCATGTATGGAAAATACACTCTGTGGTTTTATATATACATATAGTAAGCTGGAAATAAATGCCTTTGAATTACATGTATGTTTATGCTAGAAAGGTTGACAAACACCAAATAGTCTGTGAAAAATGGAAGGCCTCTTGACCATCAATTCAAATAAATACAATTTCAACTACTTGCAGCAACATTGATTTCCTTGTTAAACTACTCTGAAATCCTTTGGTTGTCAGGTACCAAAATAGTTCTGAAGTTAGGAAATTCCTTTCCCACTTAATTCTTGTGGGTAGCCCAATTCCCCATGATATTTTCATAGCCGAAAAGTATTTTTAAATGCACTTTTTAAAATCTTAAGCGATAATCAATTAGGAACAAATTAAATGCTGTCTTTAAAAAAAATGCAAATCCCTTTTGAATGACTTCAGGCTATGTATACAAGACAGACTCTCAGCTCACATCCTGACGCTGCTTTTGCATGCTATCACCTCTGTAACACACTAAAAGGATGCATATCACCACCAGGACTGCCCAATCCACCGACAATCTCATCCAACCAGGATAGCCCCATCGAACGAGAGCATAAGGTGCAGTGCTTCTAAAGTCAGTTAATAGCAGTCCTTTAAAGAAATTTCATCCTAATAAATACAATATAAAAGCCTTTATATTATATCCATAAGTTTACAAAAAGAGCACTTCAAGGCTGTCTGGCCAATACTATTGCCAGAAGATTCCAAAGCCCATATGTTTTGTTCCAAATATAATCATGACAGCTACTACAAAAGCAGTAAAAAGCAAGACGAGAAAATCTTTATCTTCCTTCCATGATGTCAGTCCCATTCCCTGGGGGAACAAGTCCTGAAAGTACATTGCAGGTTGTGCTTGTTTTCAAGCAGATGTCATCTGGGACCACCTGCTACCGCGGTCTCAGATTTTTTCATTCTCATCACTGCTGATCTTTTTAAGTGCGACGGGGCTTGCTTGCTTCAGAGAAGTCTTAGACACATCCGTGTGCATGGTGGACATGGCTATTGTCTCATAGTCATCATCCCGAGACCGGAAATCACAAAAGTTGAAGAAGAACTGCAAGTCTCTCTGGAAGTTTTTGTTCAGGAAGCCATAAAATATGGGGTTGACACAGGTGGAGATCATGGCTGTGAGGTGGCAGAGCAGGAATAAGAGATTATGGTTGCAGGTGGCAATGATCTGGTGATTCCAATCAAACACAGTGTTGAAGATGGTGAGCGGTAACCAGCAGACTGCAAACGCCACCACGATGGACAGCAACATGATGTTGATTCTTTTGGTTTCACTGGACCTGTACTTATTGTCTCTCATCTTATCCATCATGTGATTCCTTCTTTTCAAGCGTATGTATATCTACAGAGAGGAAGAAAATAAAGGACTGAGTTCAAATAGAACCACCAGGGGAAGTGTATAGCTCAGGTGGTAGAGCGCATGCTTAGCACGCATAAGGTCCTGGGTTCAATCCCCAGAACTTCCTCCAAAAATAAACAAACCTAATTACCTCCCCCCACACCAAAATTTAAAAAAATTAAATAATACGGTAGTACATAAAATATTAAAAAAAAATAGAACCACTCATTGAGTGAGTAATTCAATGGTAGGAATGGAGACGGTAGGGGGAAAATGTTTTCTTACCTTGAAGTAGCAAATAAATATAAAACAGAGTGGGCCAAAATACTGCAACACCAAGAGAAGGGTGGTGTAAGACAACCGATGCGAGTCCGACGGAAACTTATCAAAGCAGACGTATTTGTCCTTGAACGCATCAAGTGTCACGTTCTGGAAAGGCTCATCTGTCAGCACTTGGTAGATCAGGAAGGGCAGGGAGGACGCCAGAGCGAGGACCCAAATGACAGCGATCCCCACGTAAGCGTGCCTGTTACTGGGTCTCCAGCCCCGAGGGTTGATGATCAGCTGATGCCGCTCCACGGCAATGAGAACCAGCGAGAAGATGGACACGGTGACGGAGACACACTGCACAAAAGGGTTCAGCTTGCACATCGCCTCCCCGAAAACCCAGTGGTCCATCAGCGTGTAGACGAACGTGAAGGGGAGACACATGATGGCCACTAGCAAGTCTGAGAAGGAAAGGTTCACGATCAGGATGTTGGTGACGTTTCGCATCTCCTTTTGCTTCAAAATGATGACGATCAAGGCCAGGTTTCCAGACACCCCCAGAATGATCACGGCCCCGTAAGCAAGGGCCAGTGTGAAGATCATGGCCAGAGGCAGATGGCAGTCGTCATTTTCAAACGCCAAAAACTGGGAATTCTTCACTGAAAAATTATAGTAGATGGAATGATTTTCAGCCCGGGAGAACAATGTTGAATTCATTTTGATTGGGTTGGTGGTTACGGATGACTTCAGACAAACAAACAGTATGTTTCCTCAGAGCAGGTCAAATATTCAACTGATTCTCATTCTCCATGTGGGAGTCCGTTTCTCAAAATTATTCTGAATTCTTCATTTCCTCGAACTGAACAATCTGTGAAGAGAAAACGACCAACTGCATTAGTAATGTGACTGAAGGCACTCAAAATGAATTCTGACTCACAGTATGGCTTCAAGTGAAGACACTGAAATACATAAGCAAAATGTATTCCATATAAACAACTTTTTAAAATAGCAGAAACAGTGCAAACATTTTGAAGAAAATTCCAGTAACACTTTTAATTGGACTTGAAATTTTAATTGGACTTGCATGAAACACAGTGGGTTTCAGCAAAATGTAGTGGTCCGGACATTTGTAAGATATGTGTAAATCTCACAGCCAAAATCTTACATAAGCGACTATCAGCACATTCCTAAACACTGTAAAGGGGAAAGGGTAGGGAGGGATAAATTAGTGGCTGGGGATTGACAGACACACATTGCTACATATAAAAAAGAAAAACAACAGGGACCTGCTGTATAAAACAGGGAACTATGTTCAATTACTTGTAATATCATATAATGGAAAAGAATTTGAAAAGAAAAAATATGTATGTGTACATGTGTAACTGTATCACTTTGCTGTACATCTGAAACTAACACTGTAAAATCAACTACACTTCAATAAAAATTCTTTTACAAAATGATCAAAAAAAAACCTTGTAGGAATATGAATGTGTAACAAAAAACTTAATGCACAGATTAAAACTTATGAAAAAGATATGAAAGAAACAAAGAAAAACAAATAAACAAAATTAGCTAATTGTTCCTCTGACTATAAAAAAATTTATCAAATTGTAGGAATAGCCCCACCATACACTGAACTGATCGCCAGGGCAGACTATTTGGCACAAGAGCATTCAAAAGGAGATGATTAAAAACATCAAGACACCTTGTTACATGAAGGAGCTGAGGGAACAGAAGGTGTTTAATCTTGAAATGACTTCCTAGGAGTGGTCCAGACAACTTCCCACGTTTGAATGGGTAGCCTGTGATACATAGCATGTGGGTCAGAACATGATGTCCATCCAAGTTAGAAGCAGGACCAAGAGAAGTGTGTTGTATTAAAAATATTTCCCATCATCATGAAGAACGAAAGTTTAATCAGAGATAATGAGCTGCCTGCAAAACCAGCAAGTTGTCCACACACAATAGTTTGTAACTACTATGCAAGTTCTCACATTGTGTGGGAGATTCCACTGGTTAACTCTTAAACCCTGTCTGACTTTAAGATGCTCTGATTTTATTAATGTGTCAGAAGCTTTCAAAGGACATCTATGGTTTTAGTCAAATAAATATCTTCTGTCTCCAGGAGACTGTATACAGATACAATGCAGAGATCTAAATTTTAGTTGTACTTTAGATCTTTCACAGCATTTTGTGATTTGAATAGTCTTTTCTTGCTGACAAAACAAATCACAGACAATGGTCTTGTAGGGCTTAAAAGCTTCCCCCCCCCCCCAAAAAAAGCCATCTCTGATTTCCCTTAGATTACAAGGTAAATATTCAAGACAGAGTTTCTTATGTTAATTAACAGGCCATTGCGGCCGTGTTAAGAAAGGGAATTGCTTTTTCTTTCTTTCTTCTGTGAGAACAATAAAGCAAATCATGCAGATTTACTTCCGCTGAAAAGGAGGTAAGAAATTTAATGAACAAAATATGCGTTTGACTTTTAAGCAATGCCTCCACTGAACCTTTCCTTGAGTGTTTTTGCTTTCTACAACAGAGAATGGTTTTTAAATTATCAACCTGCAACTTGGCCTTATAAAACTAAAGAAGAAAAGTGAGGGTTGCTACCACTTAGTGAGAATAAGAGAATCAGAACTAGAGAAGGTGGTAGTCCTTGCGGATGTGATGTGGGAACGTTGCAGAAAAGTTCTTCCCTCCTCTGCACGACAGCTGGTAGCAACTTCTGAACCTCTGTGGGGATCACACCTTTTTCCCCGGAATCCCAAAGCAGAGAGACTCTGGGTGTCTCTCAGCATCTGAGGACAAACCTGGAGGAAGCAATTGCTCATCTAAAAATTCTCTGGAGATTTCTCACTTAAGAATTCAAAAAATTTTTATATCATGCTTCCTACTTCGGTGGCTACCCAGATATTTAACATAACTTCTCAGTTATCTGGGGTTTTCTTCATTATTTAAAGTAGAACTGATGTGACAGGAAAGTGTATCTTCTGACCCTCCTTGGCTCACTGTCAACACCAGGTGAGACACAGCCAGGAGGGACCACTGAGCACTTTCTCCGTCCAACACCTGAAGACTGCTACTTGACTGTCGCTCCTGGTCTAACAGCCCCACTGAGAATGCTCTGTATGGAGCGGGCTGGTCCCTTTATAGTCATCAAGTGCCCTGGCAATGGGCACTGAGCGTCTGCATCTCCATCACCCATCCACACTCTACCCGTCTTTCAAAGCACCACTGAGTCCCTTGACTCCTTAATTGGCTCCTCTCAAATGGAACATTACCTCTTTAAGGTAGGTACTCTGTGTATCTCCTAGTACCTTCCAAATATTAGATTTAGAACAGAAATGTGTTGATGACATAGCAGAGGCATCGATGGAATAGTAGGTTCTTGCGTGAGTTAATATTAACATCAAAAGCCAAATTCCACTGTCAACTGAAAAAGAAGAAAGTAGGCAACCTAAAAGTTGAGAATTCTGTGTCATTTGGCGGACTTGCTGGACACAAGCCCAGGAGGCAGCCTCTCAGATGGCTCTGAAGAATTGAGGGAGAAGCCAGGAGACAGAGGAGTTTTTGCAACAAGAGCCAGGTAGTTGAAACATCAAAAGATAACCGTTAATGAAAGAAAACCAGAGTCAATGAATTTAATGCTTTTCCATGTATGGGAATTTGCAAGAGTCTGGGCTCACTGAACCCATTCCTTTGCCATGCACCTAGCTCTCTAGGGCCAGTGTCCCGTTCTTTCCCTCCCGAGTCCCCTGGAGGCACAGCTGGAGGGCACCTGCAGTGGCTGAGGGCCCCATGGCCACAGCACCCTTGTTTACTGCCACAGCAGGTGATGTTCTTGTCCACACAATTGCAGTCCTTTTACATGCAAAATGGATGCTAATTATAATAGTCATTTTATTTGGTTAGGTATAAAGGGGGAAAATGTTCCACTTTGTGTAAAAAAAAAAGTTGTTTCTGAAAGAGAGTCCATTCACACTTTAATTTTTATTGAGCAGGACATTGTGTCATGTGTGGTTTTAGTGGAGACAACAGTGACCTTCCTGTTGAGTGTCTAGTCTTGTGGGCACAGAAAGACAAGGACAAATGGATCCATAGAAGAGACAGGGTGTTGGATAGGAAGTGCCACGGAGGAAAATGAAGCAAGGAAGGGGGACTGGGACTGGGGGGTGCAGCTTGTTACCGGGGGGCAGGGAAGGCCTCTGAGTGCCTGGGGAGATGGCGGTGAGCCTTGCCTTGAGGGAGGAAGTCAGGCAGATACCTTCGGGATGTGCCCCAGGTGGGAAGAACAAATGTGAGATCCCTAAGAAGAAAGGATGCTTGTTGTGTCAGACAGATGAGGAGAAGAATAAATAAGGCAGAGACTATAAGTCACTGGAAAGGTAAACAGAGGAGAAAGAGACTGTGGGCGCCTGTCTCCATGGGACAGCCTTTAACCTTGCATCTGGGACAGATGAGGACTTGCTGGAGAGGCTCTGGCAAAGGCATGAAGTTCTCTGACTTGCTTTCAGATTATTCCCCTCACAGTTGTTTTCAAAGACTGAAGATAGGAGAGAGCAGAAGTAGGGAGACTCCTTTAGAGGCTGGTGCAATGATTCAGGTGAGAGAGACTGGAGGTGTTAGCAGGGAAAAGGAAGAAAAACAGTTTATATCTCTTGACTGACTGACAAAATTCAACACATATGGGAACTAACGCAAACATTTATTAAATTATTACAATCTATGGGCTACAAATCTTTCTCGCAGATGAATTTAGTTTAAATATACTGAAACTCTATTTGGATACCTTTGAAATTCTATTTGCTAGACATCTCCTGTGAGGAAGAGCTGGTTCTTCATTAAGTAGAAGTTAACTTCGCTATACGGAAAATACAAACTTTATTGTTTAAATGTATTTGGAAGACGTTTATGCTAAGTGCATGTCATTCTAATTGGGTAAAACAGGTCTGCATTGGATACAATATGTATTCTCAGCCTACCTTAGTACGATCTCCAGAATGTGAGAAAATAACAATATTGAGAACGAATTTACATGCATTACCTTTGCAAAAGGAAAAGATTTGATATTTACTATTCCAATGTATATTTCTAAGATAAGGCATGCAATGACAGACACTGAGAAAAATTAAAGGTGGTTATATTTCAATATAGCTGTCGTGTGCCTTCAGAGACAAAACGGACACACTGCAAACATGTATCACCAGTTGGCAAATTGGCCCCCTTCCAAAGGGAAATTTCCTTCTCCATTTCAATCAGAATGCTGGCCTCGACCCTTCCTCTTACTACCTGAAAACACAGCTCTCCGGTCATAACCTGCTGCAGATACCTTTCTTCATATGCTCAGAACTGGTCACTCATCTCCCTTGTTTTTGGAAAACAAATGATCGCCTTGGTACAGCATCCTTCCAAAGTTACTGCTAGTTTATCGACACAGGTTACATAACTCTCTGTTCTTTTCCCTTCCAGGAAGGCTTGCTCAACAGACAGCAGCCTTAAAACAGTAAGAAAAGACGAATAAGGCAGTATTTACCCACTGAAAAGCTCTCAGTCTTTAGTCACGGGTGGGGAACTGTGCCGCCAGCTTTCTGCTCTCTTGCTTCCAAGGAAGGAGCCTGGAATCCAGGGACTGACAGCTCCCGGGCCGGGGTTCCCGTTCAGGCAGAGCCAGGCAAGCCCTGGGCTTCCTCCTGTTACACTTTCCCTAGGGTCCTGGTGGAAATTGTTAATCTGAGAGCTACTTTAAAAAAAAAAAAAGAGGGGGTGGGGAGGTGTCAAAGCACACTCCCTCCCTCTTCCCGCCCCTAGGTTTTCCCTGTGCTTCAGGAGTTACCAAAGAGCAAACGGAATGTGTTAAATCAAAATTCCTGTCGGAACGCTGACGCGCCCACCTTTTTTATATTGTGTAACTAAGTGACTCGCCCCAAATTTTCCTCGTTCCTTGCACTCCCTTTCCACCACACTCAGACACACACATACACACACACACACACACACACACACACACACGCACGCACACGCTACCCATCTTTCGGGGGACATAATGATGAGACTGGCAAATCAGAAAACACCCACAACAATCAGAATCAAACAAGCAGAGCCCAAACTCGGTTCACTCTGGCCCAACAGCAGTCCTTAAAACAGTCGCCTCTGTCCAGTCTACCTGGGGATCAACGGACCACTCTCAGGCCACCTCCATCTCCAATCCATCCGCAATCTCTTACCCAGCCGGGCTCCACTATCACAGGTGTAAAAGGACCCGAAGAGTTAGATGATGAAAACTCGGAAAGAGGGGAAAAGGCTCAGGGCGTCTCCTAGGGCGCAGCGCAGACTGGAGGGACCAGCAAACCCGAGCAGGGCTCCACCCAGCCAGCGTGCGGGGCGCCCACGGGTGTCCGCGGACACGTGCCGCGCGCGGGGCGAAGGTGGACCCGCCAACCCGCCTCCCTCGGCCGTCCCAGCGGCGCGTTCCTCCGCAAAAGCCCAGCGTAACCGCCCCGCGGAGCCTCGGAAAGATGCCCAAAACATCTTTGCGAAGCAGGGAGGACCGTATTTCGCGAGAACTCGAGGAGGAGAATTCGGATCCCGTGCAGAAGCCGGGTGACCTGGGTCGGCCCCGCACCGCAGGCGGTCCCAGATGGCCGGTGGTTTGGAGCATCTCGCCAACCACCAGCGCGGGGACCGAACCGAAGGCTGCCTGCGCGCCCACAGCTCCCCAGAGCCCATTTCGGGACTCGCGTGCCTTTTCTTCCTCTCTCATCCTTCACCCCATCAGTGAAAGATTTCCCAAAAGTAAGTCCCCGAAAAGGTGTCCACTTGAAACTTACCCTCTCTGCCGGATCCGTCTTTTAGCCGGTTTCTGAGAGCGGGAAGGGCGGTCTTGGAGAGGAGCGGAGCGGGGAGAAAAGATCGCGGGTGTTTCTCCGGCTCAAATCCTAAAGATCGGTGAGGATGGGAAGAGCCGCCCCTGAAGCCGGGCTCCACCTCGTCCCGGCCACGTGACGGCCCCGGGCGGCGCCGCAGCCCCCCGCACCACTTTCGGCGGACGCGCCCGGGCCGCCGGGGAATTCGGGAGGCCGAGCCGGGAGATGCGCGCGCTGTCGGACCGCGCGCCCGGCCCGGGGGTGCGCGCTCGGCGCTCGGCGCTCGGCGCTCGGCCAGGCCGAGAGGGAGGCGCGGTGCCGGGCGGCGAGGTCGTGCCCGCGCGCCGTCGTTGGCGGTCGGTGCCACCTCGCGGCCGAGGCCGCGCCGGCTGTGCGCGCGGCGGAGCGAAAGCCCGGCTCGGGGAAAGGGGCGCGCAGCCCACCGCCAGTGCGCCGCCCCTGCCCGCCTCGCTCTCCCCTGTGACGCTGGGATGTCAGTTACGCCAGGCCCAGAAGTTTTCCCTGCATTTTACACTGTGAACCAAAAGAAGACCTTAAAAAGGCAAAAGGAGCGAATCCCGGATGAAATAGACGGGCCTTTTAAAAAGTCCCTTTTCCCTTTACTGGGAAAATGCGTTGAGCCGATTTGTTCCCAGCACCGTTACTTGTTTCAGGAGAGCACGAGGAGCAGAACATTTTCCCGCTGGTCACTGAGAGTCACTGCCATTTCCTTGGTACTTAATCCACTACCTTGTTGAATAGTACTAAGGAAGAACAGAACAGAAATGTACTTTGATGGTGCAAAGCCGTCCTAGTGCCTGATGATTCAGGCTCATTGCTGATACACTAATCTCAGATGTTTACACAATTCTAGACTACTTAGAGAAGCCAAAGTTGTGTAAGACATTCTCTCTCTCTCTCTCTCTCACACACACACACACAGAGTTTACTGATGTAGATGAATACAATGTCTTCCAAATCAAACTGTCAAATAATAGAATGTCTTCCTAATCAAGATACAGGACACTGTCTAGAAGACACATACAAGTTTTACTACATAACAACTGTGATTGCATTCTGTCTTTAAAATAAAAACAAAACAAAACAAAATTCCCAGACAAATGGAATCCCTGGAACTTTATTGGAAAATGTTTTATTGTTCTAGTTGTCAGGCTGAATAAATACTATTTAAAGCTCAACAGAAACTGTAACTCATTTATTTATATAAATGGTGATGGTCACGATCTCTGTTGTTTTTTCTTACCCCCTTCCCCACCCCAGGAAAGCTTTCTAAAACATTTGTCATTTGATATAATGTTATAAAGTTGGAAAGGGATTATGACTGAAAATTAAAATAGCATGGCTGTATAAGTGTACTCTAATTGTAGATATAAACATATATTTTTAAAAACACCACTAATGACAAAAGAGTAAAATAGTATATATATATAT